GAGGGTGCACTTGATCCCCTCATCCAAATTGTCAATGAAGGTGTTGAACAGAACTGACCCCAACACTGAGCCCTGAGGAACACCACTGGTGACTGACCACCAACTGGATTTAGCTCCATTCACCACCACTCTCTGGGCACAGCTGGCCAGCCAGTTTGTCACCCAGTGAAGGGTATTCCCGTCCAGGCCATGAGCTGCCAGTTTCTCCAGGAAAATGCCGTGGGAGACAGTGTCAAAGGCCTTGCTGAAGTCCAGGTAGACCACATCCACAGCCTTTCCTTCATCCAGCGGGCGGGTCCCCTGGTCATAGAAGAAGATCAGGTTGGTCAAGCAGGACTTGCCTTTCATGAACCCATGCTGGCTAGTCCTGATCCCCTGATTGTCCTCCACATGCCTTGTGATCTCACTCAGGATGATCTCCTCCATAATCTTCCCTGGTACTGAGGTCAGGCTGCCAGGCCTGTAGTTCCCCGGATCCTCCTTCCGGCCCTTCTTGTAGATGGGCGTCACATTGGCTAGCCTCCATTCATCTGGGACCTCGCCAGTTAGCCAGGACTGCTGGTGCATGATGGAGAGTGGCTTGACAAGCACATCCGCCAGCTCCTTCGGTATCCTTGAGTGAGTCCCATGCAGCCTCATAAAACCCCAATTTTTTCTCTTAAAAGAGCCTTAGGGTTAAAACTGATGGTGCAAGAGGCTCTACTTGGTGATGGCCTTGGTGCCCTCTGAGAGAGCATGCTTGGCCAGCTCTCCAGGCAGCAGGAGCTGCACGGCTGTCTGGATCTCCCACAACATGATGATGGAGTGCTTGTTGTGCGCCAGGCACGAGGCCTCACCAGCAATACGCTCGAAGGTGTCGTTGACAAACGAGTTCGTGATGCCCATGGCCTTGGACGAGATGACCGTCTTGGGATGCACCTGCTTCAGCACCTTATACACGTAGATCGAGTAGCTCTCCTTGTGGCTTTTCTTACGCTTCTTGTTGCCCTTCTGTGTCTTGATCACTGCCTTCTTGGAGCCCTTCTTGGGCCTGGGGGCAGACTTGGCCAGCTCAGGCATGCCAGTAGCTCCCGGGTCACTCTAGAGCACCGGAGGTCATGCTAAAAATAGCCTTTCCAGGTATTGCTGAGGCCCATACTCATGGGTATACCTGGTCTTGTATTTATTGTATATTTTTTTCTTCCCTAATTTGGGATTCAATAAGAGCCAAACTTAAATTTCAATGTGGTTCTCTTCTGATATTTTAATTCAATTTCTCTATCTTTAAACTTTATTTCAGCATTCAATTGCTCTAGTAAATCCCTTCCCAAAAGTACTCCAGGAGCTTCAGGCAGGTAGAGAAATTTATGAATCCTGACAGTCTTCTTAGTTTTGAATCTTAGTGGTTTCGAAAAGAAAACTTTCTTGACCTGTCCAGTTGCTCTCACAACATTCTGTTTAATTATGGGCAATAAAGTTTGATTTAATACTGAAAATGTGACACCTGTATCTACTAGAAATTCTACAGGTTTTTTGTTTCCCTAGCTGCATTTTTACCAAAGGTTCCACTAGGGAAGATTCCCCTGGTTCCCGTCAATTAGCTTCCACATCAGTAACCCTCACTGAGTTGCCCAATCTCTGGCAATCCTTTTTCCAATGCCCCGTTTGCTTACAATAAGCACACTGATTCTTCAAGAGGGGTTGACGTCCCCGAGCTGGGGCACTCCAACTGCTTCTCACGGCTCCTCTCCCTCCCGTAGTGCTGTTTCCCTGGAGGGGGTCTGGCCCCTGTGGTGCACAAAAGGTGACCTGCCCCCATGGTGGACACAAAGCAGCCACTGTAGCACTGGCAATTCTTTTTGCCCATTGCTCTCTTTGTGATTATCGCTATTCCGATACACTTGCCATGCAGTCTTTAGCAGTTTCTCCAAATCTCTCATATGTGTTCCTTGCACTTTCTGTAACTTTCTTCTGATATCACCTGCCGATTGTCCCAAAAATAGGAATATACCAATTCACTGATTTTGGGACAGCATTTCTTATTCCGTAAGCAATCCATTCCCTGTACCACACTAATAAATCCCGGGCTTCACCCCAGCAGCACCAGCATCTCCTTCTCTGTCACCTTCTCCTTTAAACAATCCTCTAATCTCTCGTTTTGCAAACTAACATTTGCACATCTTTGTCCAGTGCTACAAGCCGAGCAACATCTTTTTAACTTCCCATCTTGCTCTTCCATTTTTATCCATCATCCAACTTACATAGAGGCCACCGCTGGTTACAATACTTTATCTTTCCAGTGAGACAAAATGCAACCCAAAGGGCACTTTTTCAAAACCCAGCCCTGTTGGTTTCCCATTCTGAAATTTATACCTTAGGTGTATTCTTGTCTGAGTTGTCTGAAGTGAGATTGTCCCAGGGCCTCCTTATCTTACAGCCATTCTAGCCATGCCCCAAATCACAAAGGCCCCTGTCCAAAGTGAGATTGTCCTGGAGCCTCCTCACCTCACAACCATTCCAGCCATCCCCCAAAGGCCTTTCCTTTGTTTAGTTGAGTAACTAAAACATTTACAACATCTTCCTTGTTTTGGGGGCTTTTAACTCTTTCATTCCCCCCTTTTCTTTAAACTTTGTAGATTTTTTTACAAAGATTCTAAGTTTTTGATATTTCATCACCTTAGCTGAAGCCCAAATTCTCAGTCAGTTTCTTCAGCTTCTACTGCAAAAGACAATTGACAACTGTTAGTATAGTGACAAACACTGACAATATTAAGTGGCTTATTTTGGTGGGGGTTTTTTTGTGTTGTTTTTTTTTTTTTTTTAATCTGGGATTTGTTCAAGATTTTGTTTAATTTCCCCAGAGATAAACTTGCATGACTTAGATTTAAGCTCTCACAATGCCAAAATATTGCTACTTGTTCTTCTGTATATGCAAAAAATGAATGTTTTCCCGTGCTAAGTTAAATGGGTTATATTTTTAAGACTTCCTGTGAATGGGGTGGTTACATGATCTTCCTAACACACAGATCTAGCATTAGCTTCTACAAAAATTTTCAACATATCAGGTGATAGGATTGTCCATTTACAATTGTTAACAGAGTGTTCTGATAAGCAGGGTTCATATAATTGAGATTGTTGTCCACATAAGATACTGTTAGAGGTGATTTCACAAGGATCTAAATCATATGTTTTGTTATCATTCTCAGTATACTTCCCATGAAATTCTGATAACCAACATTCTGGGTTCCCTTGACTCAAAAAGAGTGTTGGGAGAATTAAAAATTTACACATTATTTCAGGGTCAGTTACATTATAGTATATTAATTTTCTATAATCAATCATCTTGGTCCTTCCTTCCAGGGTATTCTGGTCCCAATTTGGTCTTGCCAAAGGAAACTTCTGGTCTCCTGGGATCCTTCCTTGCACAATAGAGGGGTTCTCTCTCTCCGAAATTCTTA